ACATGATCATCTCATTAGATACTGAAAAGCCTTCGACAAAATTCAACACCCAACACCCCTCCATAGTAAAGGTCTTAAATACAATGTATTTTGGTCATATCCTCCTCTTTTTTCTCCCCCAGCTTCTCCCAGAATTTCTCCCATCCGTCCTCCTCCAAATTTCATGTTCTCTTCTTTTTTTTTAAATGTAGGAAATTTATGTGTGTGTCTGTATGTGTGATTGTGTGTCTGTGTTTGTGTTTGTGTGTCTGTGTGTTTGTGTGTCTGTGTGTGTGTCTTTGTGTATCAGCGTCTGTGTGTGTCTGTGTGTGTGCCTCTGTGTATCAGTGTCTGTGTGTGTCTTTGTGTCTGTGTGTGTGTTTGTGGTCTCTCATGTTTCCCTCCCTCTACTCCTCCCAGTTCATTCTCCTCGGCCTCCCCACTCGCCCAGGTCCACTGTTCCTCCGTTTCCCTTCAGAAAAGAACAAGCCTCCCAGGGTTATCAACCAAACACAGCATAACAAGATGCAATAAAACTAGGCACAAATCCTCATGTCATATGAGGCAACCCAGTAAGAGGAAAAGGGTCCTGAGAGCAGGCAAAAAGAGTCAGAGACACCCCAACTCCCACCATTAGGAGTCCCACAAAACCTCAAGCTAAACAAACACAGCAAGTTTACCTAGGTCAGGCCCATACAGGCTCTGTGATTGTAACTGCAGTCGCTGTGAGCTCTGCTTAGTTGATTCTGTGTGCTATGTTCTCGTGGTGTCCTCAACCCCTTTGGCTCCTACATTACTTCCATCCCTGTGTTCTGAGTGGTTCCATTGGCTTGGTGTTCTTGTGGTACGCCCAACAATGGGAGTGGGTAGGCTGTTACCTCATCCAGCCTTGATATGAGAATTTGTGCCCAGTCTTATTGTATCTTGTTAGGCCATGTTCAGTGGATATCCCTGAGAATCTGCTTTGTTGTTTTTTTTTTTTTTTTTGGTTTTTTTTGGGTTTTTTTGTAAGGGAAAACAGAGGAAGCTGATCTGGGGGAGAGGGAAGGTGGGGTGAGGAACTCGGAGGGGTAGGGTGAGGGGAAACTATAATGGAGATATAGTATATGAGAGAAAAATAAAAGTTTGATTTTTTTAAAAAAGTTAGCCTATAAGCAAGTCTGTAGTGCATTTTCTTAACTGGTGATCTAGAGGGCCCAACCAGGTACTGGGTGGTGGCGCCCCTGGGCAGGTAGTGATCCTGGGGAATATAAGAAAGCAGGCTGAGCAAGCCAGGAGAAACAATACTCCTCTTATGGCCTCTGCATCAGTGCCTGCCTCCAGGTTCCTGCACGTTTGAGTTGCTACCTTGACTTCCCTCGGGATGAACTATGATAGGGAAGTGTAAGCTGAAATAAACCCTTTCCTCCCCAAGCTGCTGTTGGCCATGGTGTTTATCACAAGAAAGGAAACCCTAATTCAGACAACAAAGGCCAGTCTCCATGCTGGATACCTTTTTCCCTCCGTGAAGGAAAGTAAAGAGAAGGACTAGGTCTCCTTCACCCTGCCCCTCACTCCCCAAGCTTGCATTACAGGTTTGGGACCCAGGACCCAGCTCTGCACTCAGCAAAGCCCAGAGTTCAGTCAAGGACAGGAAGCCCAGGCCAGTGCAGGACAAGGCACTCAATGTGCTCAAACACCTAGTGAGTGCCTGAAGGCCTTTCCCAATCGGAAGTGACCCCTGGGAGCCCTTCAGGTGTGGGTAGAAGAAAGCCTTCCCCAAGGTCTGCTAATGCCCTCTCAAGTTCCTCCAAAACCATCTCTCTTGTTTCAAAGCAGAAATAGGAGCTGGCCCGGGCATCACAGACTTTGGGCCCAAATGAACAGTAGAAATGCCCATACCTGATATTAGGTGAGACAGAGCTACCAGGAGGAGCGGGCGGTCAGAGAGGTGAGGCCAAAAGCCATTTTGTGAGCAAATCTGATGCTGAGCGAGGGCCGCCGCACACCTAAAGGAATTCCAAAACTTTCCATGGTTTGATGTGTGGGGCACACCGTTGAAGTTCTGGGAGATCATTTGAAATCATTTTCTCAGCACTTTGTAAGGGATTTGGAGTGTATGCCACAGAAAGATTGGAGAGAACATGAATAATGACATCACCAGGGCCGGCCCTGTGCCGAGGAGTAGCTGGCCACACACCTTCTTCTTTGCCCAGCCTCTCTCCAGGTATGTAAGTCCACTTTTACGTTGTTACCCTTTGTAACCAGAAAAATAGTTCTACTAAATCCTTCAAAACTTGAGTTATATTTTTCAAGAACTTTATTTTTTTTTTTAAGAATATTAAGGCATTCTGAGACCAAAATGTTCATGAGTGTTCGTTCATGGACCCTCAGAATGCCTCTGTAGTACACACACGAAATTCTTCTTTAACAATGTTTCTCCCTTTCTCGTTTTCTTCTCTATTCTCTCTCTCTCTCTCTCTCTCTCTCTCTCTCTCTCTCTCTCTCTCT